ACTCGCGGCCAGTGTAGACAGGCAGCAAGTTTTTGCGCAAAATCTTGCCGGTCTAGACGCACCCCCACAGTCAGCAGCGTGTTGACAAGCAGGCACCCAAAACAGCCCCGCCTGCAGAAGTGCTAACATACAAACAGGCAGAAAACACACGCCCTGCCCTGTACAAAGCACACACGCCGGTCAGCCTCACAAAGCCACACGACACACAGCTTTACCCCCCCCAATACACACTCATGCAGGCCCGGGGGGGAGCTCTGAACCACTTACTCAGAGGTCTTCATGTCCCTTTTGTGCCTGGGGGAGGAAAAGGAAGGCGGGAGAGGTTGGTCACTGTGGGATGCTGAGCTGAGCTTCAAACTGGCACTGACTAAGCCGGCTGTGTGACCAGGGCCCAGCAGAGGTAAAGCGTAACTTGCAATAACCCGAGCCAGTGTTGATAGACAGCCTGGCCGGGCCCAGCTACGTGAGCCACAGCAAGAAGTGTCGTGTATGTGCCCTGCTGTCCCCTGTTGGAGGGACTCAGCGCTGCTGTGTCATAGCCCCAGTACTGCTCACAGCTAGTGGAGATCCTCCTGTGGCACAAGTGGCGGGGGTGGGCTGGTGCAACAACTGGGCCAACAAATGTACCCGGAGTGTGGACTCCGCTGGTAACAGTATGTCCCAGTCAAGCCCTGTGACAGAGAAGTGGAAATTCACCCCAGGACAGAGGGGCCAGCCTAAAGCTAGGTGTGTCCTTAGGGCACTTTGGCAGGGGTGGATTTCACTCTGCCCCAGGGGGCTCCAGCCCTCTGCAAATGGGGAATCCTGAGCACCCTCCCCAGCCTCTTCCTCCATCCCTTCCCGTTCCTGGCTCCAGGGGCGTCTGCCCAACTTACAGGCCCTCCCTCCTGCCGTACATGACGTAGGCCAGGAGCAGGCAGAGCAGGAGGGCCACCAGCAGCGGCAGCAAGATGGTCAGCAGATAGTCAGCCAAGAACGCCTTCTCGGGGGAGTCGGTGGGGGGGTTGTATTCGCTGGCGTCCTCCAGCACCCCGTCGCCCCAGACGGGAGTCCCCTCGGCGGTGCTGAGCCCGGAGAGATCGGTCTGCAGGAGGAGAGAGCCGTGACAGTCAGGGGCCACCGGGGTCTCTCGGGGGGGCTGCCCAGGGGGTGTTCGCCCCTGTTGCCAGGGAGGCTCTCCGCTCGGTCACACCTCCTCAGGGATTTCTTGGGGCCAGGGAGACCGGAATCTCCAGTCAACAGGGCAGCCCTGCCCGCGCCTTCCTGCGCCTTCTGCAGCATCCCTGCCCCCAAGCGCCGGGGGAGGAAAACAGGAAAAGGAAAAGCAGAGGAAAGTGAGGATGGGGCCCACCACAGTGACCCGAGCCTTATTTTTAAACTTTCCACGGGCCCCCTGCAGTACCGGCGTGGGCTGCCAGGGGTCTGCCGACCACAGGGTGGCACCACGGGTCTAGAGCAGGCCTGCACGACTCGGGAAGCGGCGCGGGCCGTATTCCTCCAAAGCAAACAGCTGCAGGCCGCAAGGTCCCAAAAAATACCGAACTCGCGGACTAAAAATGTCTGTCAAGCAAAAAGAAAAGCGTCTCCACTTGGCCCCCTGGCATTGGTCTCTCCTGCACCCGGCCCCTTGGTGCCTTCCCCTGTCCCCTGACCTGCCCCCTCCCCTCAGCACAAGCCCCTTCCCCTCCCCTAGGGGCCACGCCTCCCGTAGTCGGCACGGGCCGCACAGTGAGCCCCTGTGAGCCCCACGCAGCCCTCAGGACGTATGATGTGCAGGCCTGGTCTAGAGTGACAATGATTTGCCCAAGGACACCGAGCATTTCAGTAGCAGAGACGGGAGCAGAGTCCCAGACAAGCCTTTGTCGCGCCATCACGCTAGGCCCTAAGGTTCAAGGTTACGGCCGCATGGATATTCAGGGCACTGAGGCAGGGGTGCAGGAGACCCCAGGGCAGCCCTCAGGACGTATGATGTGCAGGCCTGGTCTAGAGTGACAATGATTTGCCCAAGGACACCGAGCATTTCAGTAGCAGAGACGGGAGCAGAGTCCCAGACAAGCCTTTGTCGCGCCATCACGCTAGGCCCTAAGGTTCAAGGTTACGGCCGCATGGATATTCAGGGCACTGAGGCAGGGGTGCAGGAGACCCCAGGGAGAAATCACCAGCAACTCTTCCATGCATTTCACCGGGCCAGGACTCCTCCCCCGGCCCTGCTAGGAGGGGGGATGCGGCGCATGGGGGCAGCATGGCTCTGCCCAAGCCCCTCACCAGGGTAACGTTGCACCAGTCGATTTGGAACTGAGGACTGAAGCTGTCGTAGCAGGGAATGACCGGCTGCTGCTCCAGGCTGCACCGGAACTGGTTGTCGGAGGAGGTGGCCTTCACCAAGCAGTCGGAGAAGGGCCGGCGGGAGCCCACCTTGATGTAAACCCTGGGGAGAGATGCCCAGAGGGACAGGAAAGTGGGAGGAGGAGGGGTTGGGGCTATCAGATCGCAAGAATGTGGGGCATGGCAGCCCCAGCCTCCCTAGCTAGACAGGCTGTGAGGAGCAGTCCAGGAGCCCCCCAGCTGTGGGGAACGGTCCAGGAGCCCCCCAGTTGTGGGGAACTGCTTGGGAATGTCCTCCCCATCTGGGTGCCCCCAGCTGCCGGGAGTGACCAGGGAGCCCCCTGCCAGCTGTGGGAAGTGGTCCGGGATCTCTGATAGGTAGAACCAGCCTAGGAGCCCTTTGCCCCACTGACCAGGCCCTGGGTCACCCAGGGTTGGGCGCTGCGGGGCCAGGGTCGCTGGCCCTGGGCATCCTTGAGAAGTCCCAGAACCAGGCCAGGAGCTGGTGGGCAGTCGCTGTCCTGTTCTCTCCTTACCCCTCCTTCCTGCCCTCGATGGGCAGGGGGACCCGGCCCCCTCGGTCCAGGGCCGACGTGATGTTGACGATACTCCAGTCCTTCTGCTCCAGCATGGTGTCCAGGGCTTGCTGGAACTGCTTCTGCGCGTCCGGCGGCAGCACTTCCTCCACGTCCCGGTTCCTGACGAAGAACTCGGCCTGGAACGGCATCTGGGCGTCTGCGTGGGGGAGAGAGACCCCGCTGGGAGGCCATCAGGAGCTCCTGCATCCGGAGCATGCCGAGGGGGCTGTGGGAGGAGGGGGGGCATGCTCCAGGGGCCGCTGGCAGGGCCGGGAGGCATCACCCTCTTAACACGGCAGATGGGGCCGTCCTCGCACCCCGGCGCCTGTTGGCGCCTCCTTGCCCTGCCCCGGTGGGGGGCCTGGGATGGGCTGGTCGCTAGCAACAGGGCACAGGGAGCGGCGGAGGGAAGGCGGGGGAGTTACCTGGGGAGAGGACAATGGTGAAAATGACCCTTTGCCGCACGGTCTCGTAGGTGTGTCTGTTATACGCTGTCACCTGCCACGTGGAGAGGAAAGAACTTGGGATCCCCACTCAGAACAAAATGGCCGCCACCCACATCACGTCCCATGAGGCCTGCCACACGTTTTATTTACACGGAGCTGCCAGATCCCATTGGCTTCCCTTTGCGGCGTTTGCTTCCCACCCGTATCACTAGAGTGAGGCGCACGTGAAGCCAGGGCAGGTGACGTGCGGTGGGCGCTGACTGCACCCAGCACTGACGGGGAGAGCCGGGCAATCCCTCCGCAGCCAACCCCAGCGCTGCTCCAGTTCGACCTGCACCCCCCGCGCATTCCTGGGGCACAAGCTCAGTGAGCAAAACTGCCCTGGCCCGGGAGAGCATCGTGGTAACAATCGTGTGTCCCGGCCACTGAGCTGGGGAAGGGTCCCGCACGCGGCCCACGCGCAGCCTCAGTCGTCGGTTGCTGCTCTAGGCCATCTCCTGCTGCGGGGAAGGCTGGCTCAGATGGCAGACACGGCAGGAGGCAGAGACACCCAGAGTCCAGGGGGTTGCCCTGCTGCCCTCGAATGGGGAGATGGCTCATGAGTGCCCAGACGAGGGGCTGCCTTGGGCATAGAAGGAAAGGGAGCCCCAGGCTGCGGCCTGCTCGGGTCACCATAGGACTTTGGAGCTGGTTAGCTCTGATGTCCTCAGCTTCAGTCAAAACATTTACCCCATAGCTATGCGTGCAGACACACACACACACCTCCTTTGCGCACACAATTCCCCCCACACCTCTCCCTCACACACACGTCACATACACACACACACACACCTCCTTTGCGCACACAATTCCCCCCACACCTCTCCCTCACACACACGTCACATACACACACACACACACCTCCTTTGCGCACACAATTCCCCCCACACCTCTCCCTCACACACACGTCACATACACACACACACACACCTCCTTTGCGCACACAATTCCCCCCACACCTCTCCCTCACACACACGTCACATACACACACACACACACCTCCTTTGCGCACACAATTCCCCCCACACCTCTCCCTCACACACACGTCACATACACACACACACACACCTCCTTTGCGCACACAATTCCCCCCACACCTCTCCCTCACACACACGTCACATACACACACACACACACCTCCTTTGCGCACACAATTCCCCCCACACCTCTCCCTCACACACACGTCACATACACACACACACACACCTCCTTTGCGCACACAATTCCCCCCACACCTCTCCCTCACACACACGTCACATACACACACACACACACCTCCTTTGCGCACACAATTCCCCCCACACCTCTCCCTCACACACACGTCACATACACACACACACACACCTCCTTTGCGCACACAATTCCCCCCACACCTCTCCCTCACACACACGTCACATACACACACACACACACCTCCTTTGCGCACACAATTCCCCCCACACCTCTCCCTCACACACACGTCACATACACACACACACACACCTCCTTTGCGCACACAATTCCCCCCACACCTCTCCCTCACACACACGTCACATACACACACACACACACCTCCTTTGCGCACACAATTCCCCCCACACCTCTCCCTCACACACACGTCACATACACACACACACACACCTCCTTTGCGCACACAATTCCCCCCACACCTCTCCCTCACACACACGTCACATACACACACACACACACCTCCTTTGCGCACACAATTCCCCCCACACCTCTCCCTCACACACACGTCACATACACACACACACACACCTCCTTTGCGCACACAATTCCCCCCACACCTCTCCCTCACACACACGTCACATACACACACACACACACCTCCTTTGCGCACACAATTCCCCCCACACCTCTCCCTCACACACACGTCACATACACACACACACACACCTCCTTTGCGCACACAATTCCCCCCACACCTCTCCCTCACACACACGTCACATACACACACACACACACCTCCTTTGCGCACACAATTCCCCCCACACCTCTCCCTCACACACACGTCACATACACACACACACACACCTCCTTTGCGCACACAATTCCCCCCACACCTCTCCCTCACACACACGTCACATACACACACACACACACCTCCTTTGCGCACACAATTCCCCCCACACCTCTCCCTCACACACACGTCACATACACACACACACACACCCCTCCCTCACACACAAATCCTCTCACACACACACCTCCTTTGCGCACACAATTCCCTCCACACTCCTCCCTCACACACACGTCACATACACACCTCCTTCCCTCATACACACACACACCTCCTACACACACACACAAACTCACACCTCCTACACACACAAACTCACACACATACACCCCTCCCTCACACACACACCTCCTACACACACACACGTCACATACACACACACACCTCCCTCCCACACGTTACACACACACACACAAACTCACACACACACACCCCTCCCTCACACACACACACCTCCCTCACACAATTCCCCCCACACCCTTCCCTCACACACACGTCACATACACACACACCTCCCTCCCACACGTTACACACACACCTGCACACACACACAAACTCACTCTCACACAGCTCACACCCCCCCCCCTCTCCTTCACACATACACACGCTCCCGCTCG